TTAAATCAGGAAAGGCTCAAACCAGATTTTTAAATGTTGGATGGTTTCAAAAGAGATTTGATATACTTAAGCTGATGTCACAGATGTCATAGAATATGTCACCAGAATCTCTTTCCTTAGATAATAGCACCATCACATTTAATATTATTTAGGTCAGTGAGTCTCAACCTCAGCAACTTTAAAATTTGTGGAATAGCTCCCAAAATTCTCGATCCATTCTCTATTAATTTCAATAACGTTTAATGAATTAAATAATTTACATTGATTTCAATAAATAATTAATTTAAAATTAACAATTTGACAGAAAAAAAGATTACATACTCCTGATTTAAGTTTATTTATTGAGGGAGAAAAATACATATTTCTTCCCAGGAATTAATTACATTTGACAAGGACAATACGTGAATCAATTAATTATTGGCATTGATTCTGGTCCAAAAGACAAGTTATCATTTTGGAGTTACAATACAGGAAACTCCACATTGGCAGGAGCTTTTCATTCAACTTCCTGGTTCTGAAAATTTCTCCCTGCCTGTTGCTGTCGAGATACTCAACTTCCACCCCACTCCAAGGGATCACTTTACAATTCTCTCCATATAATGGCTGGTTCCTCTTTTTAATATACCTTTGCTAGAAAAATGGATGGAAGTGTCTTCCATGTTTTCCTATTTCCCAATTAGTAGAAGAACTGAACAGCAACTAAAAGAGTGCTAGCAGTAGGGGGGACTTGGTTAGTTGTATGAATAACTTAAGGATGCGGCACATGACTTGAGGAAATTGGTTTTTCTTGGCAATAAGATAAACTTAATGAAAAAGCCTGCTAACTTTTGCCTTTCAGAATTGTACAGTCTACAATGATACCATCATGGTGTGTTATGCTCCTTCCATTGATAACCCAGTCAAGAGCCCTTCAGAGCTTGGTGATCGACCAGATGAGATTGGCTTTATTATGGACAATGTTCAAGCCTTGTTGATCATCAACAAAACTAACTTTATCTATTATCCAGATCCTGTGTTTGAACCCTTGCCATCTGGTATGTTGGAGCTCAAGCCAAGTTCTCCTCTTATCCTCAAGGTAATAATTTATTCAACCACATTTCTGCAGTTTTTAGAAGCAAATGTTCTTCTTGAACATTTTGGTCTTGGTCTTATTAGATAAGTACTAGTTACACATTATGTTGATACAGTGTTGTTCAGAATTCCTAGACCTACTAAAAGCGTTGTCTATTAAACTAATAGACTCTGTTACTCACAATGTACAAGTGTCAGGCACACACACACACACACACACACACACACACATGATTTTTACAACCCCCGGTATGCCCAAATATGGGAGGAAGATCACTACTTCCATTCTCTGTCCTTCGGCCCCAGTAAGGGGTATGGCTAGCTGATGAGAGTTAAATAGCTTTGGTCATTTTCTCAGCCCAATTCATCTCACAGGTTTACTGTTGTGGAGAAAATAGGAGGAACACGTATTATGTATGTTTGCTACATTGAGTTACTTATGAAGTAATGAAGTAAACAACAAACAAACAAACAAATAGATGGGTGAGTGAGTGAAACCTATTTTTGGAGCCTGGCATGCAGAGGTGGTACTCAGCCAGTTCTCTCCACCCCAACATAAAGTGTGACCTTCTGTGCATGCACAAAAGGCCGTTTGCATGTGCAGAAGGTGGTGCATGCGCTCACATTTGCGAACTGGTAGGGAAGGTAAGTGAATCCCACTACTGCTGGCATGCTATATAGTCCATGGGGTCGCAAAGAGTTGGACGTGACTTAGTGACTGAACAACAACAAACCCACTTTTATTCTTCTTAAAGGGCCGTAACCTGCTCCNATGACTAAAGGCCAAAGGTGCATGGAACGCTGTTACCTTTCCAACAAAGTGGTTCCTATTTTTCTACTTGCATTTTTTATGTGCTTTTAAACTGCTAGTTTGGCAGAAGGTGGGACAAGTAACGGGAGCTCACTCCATTACACGGTACTAGGGATTTGAACCACCAAACTGCTGACCTTTCTGATCCACAAGCTCAGTGTCTTAGTCACTGAGCCACCGTGTCCCCTACCTCTCTTTTACCTACCGATAGTAGTTGGGAAATGAAACATCCACAAGCAAACAACTACTATATTTTTCGGACTATAAGATGCACCTTTTTCCCTCATAAAAGAGGCTGAAAATCTGAGTGCGTCTTATACATTGAATACAGCATTTTTTGCCTCCTGAATCTCACCCTCTTCACCAAAATGGCTGTGCATATCCTTATGAAGGCTTTCAGAAAACTCCTGGGGGCTGAGGAGGGCAAAAATGAGCGAAAAATGGCCAGTTTTTGCTCAAATTTACCCTCCAGCCCCCAAGAGCACTCTATAAGCCTCCTAAAAGCTATTCATGCCCCCTTTTTTGAAAAAAAGGCCCATTTTCATGAAAAATGGACCATTTTGGGGAGGTCTGCAGGGTGCAAAAACTTTTTTTTAATTTGCCTCTTCAAAATCCTGGTACATCTTCTAGTCCGGTGCATCTTATACTCCGAAAAATATGGTAGGTTCAGAGACCCAAGGGCTCCAATAGTACTTTTTTACCAAATGGTTCTTCCATTTGAAAGATGGGAAAGAAGGAGGGAGACTCACTTTTTCATTGTCCAGTCTAGTATTCCTTAATGAAATACTCTGCTTTGGGTTTTTTTCTTTTCATTTTTAGTACCTTTTTTGTATATAAATTCAAGTCAAAGTTCACACTGAAGTTTTAATCCAGATCTGCCACTTGATTCTTCAGTGTCAGAAGACTAAACTATTTTCATTAAAGAAATCCCTACCAGTAGAGTTTGGGGAACATGAACCTTCTAGGTTCTCTTTTCATACTAAAGTAAGCTAGGATACCATTTTAATGAATTAATTATATTTCCACTTTAAACAACATTTTAACTGCACAGTACAATTGGTAGTGTTAGTCCATTGAATTCTTGAATGGGAGGTTTATCGGGGTACTTTTTTAAATCTGCTATTTCTTCCCCAGCTTTTGCTGAGCTGCAGACGGATATCCATGAACTGACCAATGACTTGGATGGGGCTGGCATCCCATTTTTGGATTATTGCACCTATGCCATGAGAGTCCTCTTTCCAGGAATAGAAGACCATCCTGTCCTGAAAGAAATGGAGGTGTGGTAATGGGCGTATGTGTGTCTGCTTGGATAATCTTTAATGTTGCATTAATTTCTTCTGCTTTGTAGGGTTGGGCATTGAGGAAGAAGGAATTTGTTTGCTATTTCCTGCAGTAGATCTCTCTATAGAAGAGAGAGTTATCTCTATAATTAATTTTTTTGTGTGTTATTTGTGTCTATTGACATTTCTCTGTTTTAGGATATTGGTTTAGGCTAGCCTAAATGGTCTCAAAATCATCAATTTCCCATGATTCCTAATTTCCCATTTTTCATAAAGATTTAATACAGAGGTCACATCCAAGGTGTTGATTCTTGGAACAAACTTAAGGGATTGCTTGTTTTAGAGGTCAAATAGTCTGGATGTTGGTGGGGAAACTATAATGTTGTCACCAAGGAAAGTTGTTCATGATGTATCATATTATATCCATATTTTGAAGGCACTAATCTGTGTTTCTTAAATGCTGGATCCGATCATAGGCATTTTTGAATTAGGAGGAGGTAGGTATTATAAAACCCAAACAGAGAATTATGCTAATATTGGCTCAATCAACTCAAAATCTTCCAGGGGTTTCAAACTGCAAGTTCTTGAGACCTAGTCAGGGACATGATTTATGAGCTTTGTGATCAAACATCGATATGATAGCAGATTTTGGCTTCTGCATTTATAGATGGTTCAAAGACAAAAATTGATTGATTTTGTGGAGGGGCACTTTTTGGGGGGGGGGTTTCCTCCTCTTTCTATAAAAGATGACACATAAGGACTTTGCTTTCACAAATATCTTGTCAAATAAGCCATTTAGTTTTACTGGATAAGACCTGAACATTGAAGAAATTGACCTGAGCTGTGCTAGCTAGGAAAACGGTGTCGTGTATAGGATTTGAACACCCTTCCTTCCAACAGTCATGACTGAGCTCTCACTAAATCACTCCTGCTGTTGCTTTATTCTTGTATTCCTTCTGAACTGCAGAGCATAGAGACTAATTCAGCCGTTATTGCCTTAATTGAAATGAGAATAAGAAGTATCAGTTCTACAGACAACATTGCTTGATAGCAACTTGGAGAGTTGAGGAGCATCTTTTAAAAAATGTTAATAGGTAGGTCAAATAGGATAAGCAAAGAGGGAGCCATAGGAAATCATTAAGTGGATCATAAAGTTGTTGCTAAGGTCAGTTCAAGTAGTAAGATTTTAAGTAAAGAGTAAGAGAATGAAAATTAGCCAAAGGCAGAGAACAACAGAAGTCTTTTGCTGGCAGCATAATCTAATTGAAAATTGCCACGCTAAAAAGCAGTTAATTTTAAAAATCACTCAAGTAGATGTTGTCCTATTGTAGTGTTGTCCACAGAGGAGTTTGTACACAGGAGTTTCTATGACATGGGCATTACTGCCGTGTCCGTCAATCCCCTTTGTGAGATTACAATATGTGGTTCTTTCTAGTTGCATTGTCTAAGAGTAAGCTAGTGCTGTGGGAGTTTTGCTACTTTTAGCAGATTTTTTTTTTTAAACTTCAGAAGGCATGGACTGCTGAGCTGCTCTTTGCCTCTGGATTTCACTAACCAATCCACTTCTTTCTTCATTAACAAAGTGTGCATAGATTAGAATTCTCTCTGTACAATTTCTCATTCAGTAGAAATTCTCTAAAAAGTAAAAATCATGCAATAAAAAACTTTATTCGTTCATTCAATTTACTCAAGAGGGCTCACAACATTTTGAAAATTTAGTGCAAAATATTAAAAGGTAAATACTGTGAATACTGAGAGCCAATGTGGCCTTGTGGTTAAGGTGCTGGATTAAAACCATGAGACTAAGTTCTAGTCTTTCCTAAGGCATGGAAGCCAGTGACTTCATTGATTTGGTTTGATTGTTCCTTTGGAGTCATTCTCCCTCTTTCAGCCCTAGACCAGGAAGTCCAAAATCATCTGCCTACCAATTGATCCTGAATAATCATGATAGATTACACTTGTTAATCTTCAAAAAAGAAGCCTTCATTTGCAGTGGACTGTTTGGATAAATGATTACAGTAACAATTACAACTATGAATACTGAAATCAGTGATTAAACACCAGGTGATTAGAGGACATATGCAAGTTTCTATAGCGTAGCAGTACTGCCTTGCTTTCTTCCGACAATTGAGGAATCCTTAGGAGANCTTCATCAGTTTAAAACTTTCTATGTGCCAAATCTTGTCTTGCTTTTTGATGTGTATTTTAAATTCTTCAAGTTTAAAAAGATACAATTTTATTTTCTAAGATTGAACATTGAAGACTCTTATCCAATGCTTCCATTTGTCATTTTGAAGATATCTAATTCATTTAAAGCAGTTAATAGGCAATTTTTGAAGAGTGTAAATACAAATTTAATGTCTTTTGAAAGACACTGACTTTGGTTAGAGCCAAATGGTAAATTCCTCTTTCTCCAGAGAGGATCAAAGGAACTGATCTGCTTGTCAATTCCATCTTCTTAGCTATATAATTGGCTTCACTTCTGCAGAACTGTTTTCAGTCACATTCCTTAGCAAGTCCCTTCTTGTTTGCATCTTCAATGTATTTACCAATGTCACTGTAAAACTGTTTTTAATGTACTACTATATTACAACTTTAGAAATTCTTACCTGTACTTGAGGAAGGAATGCTGGAGTAATTACATAATTCAATTTTTTAAACAAAATAGGCATCAAAATTATCACTCAAAAATCTACATATTATATGAAATTGCACAAAATGCATGTGTTAAAAAGTAAATACGGTTATGCATGTTTAAAACAATCATAATGTGGCTGCTTGACAAAATTGACATATCTGGGTTTATGCAAAATTTAAATAAATCATAAACTTAGTTTAGTTTTTTTTTAATGTTGTTGGTTTCAGAGGGAAAAATAAAAATTTCACTAAATCTCTGAATTTTTTACCTGTTCTCTCTTTGTACTTAACAACATCTGTATGAATTATATAAGTTAGTTTTTAGTACAACAGTTCGGCCTTACTCTGGAGTTCATTATAGCCTTGCATTTTTTTTGAAAAGGACCCAAAATATTTTTTACCTCCAGGTATCCATCAGAGGAGTATACTTTGCATCCCATGTATTATTATAATGTTATTTGAATGAGATATCAAACTTGATCCTTACTTCTGTTAGGTATCAGTAGTCTGCCTGCCTATGTCTATATCCCATCTAAGCTCCTTTCTGGTAGTGTGAGATTTACCCTACAGTATCTCACCACTGTTTTTTCTTACCGTTTTGCTTCCTTCTAAAGGTAGCCGCCAATGCTAACTAGAAATAGTTAGAAATGGGAATAGTGAGGATAGAACAAACTTTAATAATGGTATGCTGAGTATAAAGAATCNTAATTTAGTACAAGCAGTTCTGCCAAAATTAGCATCACATTTTCCTGTTTAACAAGGTTGCTCTTGAAGGATGCCCTTATCATCCCTTCGCTGTTGACCTCTCAGATTTGATTTGGGTTTTGAAATGCAGTATATTTAGGCGTAATCAGCTCTAGGAAATAATGGAGTTATTAATTACAGACAAAGGCTGCCTATTATAGTCAAGCACAATCAATGCTTGTGTGATCAATTTTTACTATATTACATGCAGATTTTCCATCCTGCTTTTCCACACTATTTCTCTAGTTTGAAAACCAATTTTTATTTTTAATAAAAAAATATCTGTGCCATGAGTGTATATCTGTATATATCCAGCATACTTGGGAGAGTGTACAAGCACACATGTGCACACACAAACATATCATCTACCCTCATGTAGTCCATATCGTCATGTAGTCCAATACCTGTTCAATTTAGGAATCCACTAAACAATTTTTCTGACAATGAAATCACACTGAATGTTTTAGGTATATATTTTTACTGCTAAACAGCCTTTTATTGTGTGGGGATTTCTTCTAATATTCAGCCTTAATCTCATTTATTTCCATTTCAGTTCAACATTTTTTGTGCTGCTTTCAGTTCAACACAGAATAGATCTTCTCCCTCTTGCATAGTATAAACTTTTAGACATTTATAGATGGTAATCAATCTCTCCTCTTTTCCAAGCTAAGCATATCTAGCCCTTCTAAGAGTTTCCAGGTCTCATATCATCCTAATAGCTCTACTCTGAATTCACTTCAACTTCTCTACAACCCTTGCCTAAGCATCAGAGTAGTGAAGAATTATTACATCCTGATTCTGGATGCAATGGCTCAGTTAACACAGCCCAAGTTAGTATAATCCTTCATAGCGGCTATATCACACTACTTACTCCTAGATCATTTTCACATTTGGTGACATCAAGGCAGACTTCTTCAAGTCCATAGCTACATATTTCATTTTCCTGCCTGATGCAAGACTTTACACTAGCCACACTTGCTGAATTTGTCTTGATTTTGAAACTTGNAAGGCTAGCCAGTTCAAAGGACACAAATTTCTCTATAGACTGTCAGGACACCATACAGAAAATAAGATTAGAATATTGCCAAATGTGCTTTCAAAGTCAATCCTAGCAGATGGTCCGCAGGATACAATGGCTGGTGGTATCAAAAATCCAAGAAGGCTAGGCCAGCTCCATATCTGGCTTTTTATGAAGATAGTTCACCAAGAGTACCAAAGCTGTCTCAGTACTGTATTCTGCCCAGTATTGGGCCTGATAATTATCCAGGCACACCTGGAGCTGCAGTGCTACCTCCTGTTAGCTGTTTTAATTTTATTTTAATCAAGTAGCGGGGCGAGCTGAATAAGCACATGGTAGCCATAATTCTCCACACACTCTTCCTATATCCTTCAGAACTACCAGCTGGAAAGAATCCAAATAACAGGATAAGCAGCTGCCAAAATTACCTCCTTTTGACTTGCACTATCCCTGAAGCCCCACTTGAGATATACCTAATTAATTTTCTCTGGAAAGAATGATGCAAATGATTTACTGGGAATTACTGAGTATTGTGACTCCTCCTACTCCTAAATCTTGCTAAAGAGGATGCCTCACAGTCTGGAAAAGTAATGAAAGC